CACTACCATTATGCAAAACTGAAATCAGTGTAGCACCTATTTCATAAACTTGTTATAAGGATTATGCGAACTATAATGCAAAGTGCTTGATACTATTAAGTGTTATTGCCACTGCTACCCCTGCCACAAAACCATCACCATCATTACTATCATCATCCAGGTTTCTATATGAGTTAATTAAGGTCAAATAAATATGGGAAAATCATTAACATGAATGAGTAAAATGGGACCAGTGTGGCAAACCGAAGATAAAACTTGCTTACTCAAAGCAGTGACTCTCAAACCTTGAATGTACACATGAATCACCTAGAAATCTTGCTAAAACTCTGACTGTGATTTATTAGACTCTGAATTTCTTAGCAACTCCCAGGTGACATCTGCACTCTGTACCAGAGACCACACTTCTGAGTAGCAAGTGTGATACATCTGTTACTCTGCTGCAGCTGATAATTTTCAAGAGAAGACAGGGTCCACATTTTAAAAAATACATAAATTCTCTCAATTTCTAATTGTTGCTAATTATTTCAAGGCAGAGCTTACTAAAAATTTGCATGTATTCATGCTGTATTAAGTTTGTGAGGACTCAGTTTGTAAACTCTGGGCTGGCTGAAGAAAGAGTCAAGGCTAAAACTGGTGATGGGAAAGTCAAGTATAGAGCATGATCCTGAGGGTAGAATGTGAATGTGTAAGATTTTAGTAGTGTTTTATTATAGATGTTTGGATGCATTTAAAAGATGGCACATACCATGAAAAGATTTGAAATAAACATTAAATTTTCTGGCTTTAATTTTTAGGAAATAAGGATGTTGAAAAGCTCTTCATTTGAAGTAGAAACTGAAAGTTGTTCGGTTACAGGAGTCTGAATTACTGAGGAGTCAAAGTTAATGAATACTTAAGAAAAAACAATTGTCTTACAAAGAGTAATATGAATTGCTAATGGAGATTTTCAAGAAGAGGTCCTACTAGGCCCACTTTAATGAATTAGATAAGGTTCTTTTCTAATTAACAGCATTAATTTGCATGCAAACAATGAGCTAAGGTCTTTAAAGAACAATTTATTCCCTTAAGTACATTTAGGAGTACCTCCCATAATCTTATTTATACTGTTAATTTGCTGGCAAACTAGCATAGATCATACATAGGTAAACTTTGGTTCAAAAATTCAGAAGTAAAGAGGTTTAAATGAATAATAAGTTAATGATCAAACATTAAGTATTATACAAGAAGGGCTTTTAAATTTTCCTAACTTTAATTTGAACTTCCGTGTACTCTGAAAGAGATTTGTCAAGCATCCATGCAATATTATGAAAACATTATTTCCCCGGGACTGCTTCCCAGAAAGTTATCAATATTCTTTTAAGAAGGAACTGCTGTTTAAATGTTAGTTTCTTTATACAACTTCCAGTAAACAAAACCAGAGGCGTGCAGAGAAATGGTTAGCTCTAAACTTAGGGCAAAGGAAGTCCAAAGTGAGGCTGAGACAATAAGAAACCTGAAATAGCTCCCACTGACGAAGAGTAAGAACTACAATTCATTAGAGCATTGAATGAATAATAATTTGTGAGTCCGGTCTGACATCAATGGAGAGAGATAACAAACCCTCTTAAAAAACAGGACAAAGTCAGCTGGTTCATTTAAGTTCGTGTTAGAATTAGGAAAATCATCATTTTGCAAGTCTCAGTGTAAGAGTGGGTTAAAGAAGAATCTAAAATGCCATCATATAACTTATTAATTTCAAAGAAGAATATGACTTGAGAATGCAAGATCTGATGTTCACTACCTTAACAAAGTGATCAAACTTAGCAGCATTTAAAATGGGGCTACCTCATATTATGCACCACTAGTGGTGATGTACTGTGAAGTACACAATATCCCTCATTTGATGTATACTTCTCAAAATCGTCTGACTTGCTTCTTTTCATGTCTTATCTAGACCCAAATTCTAGTTTACAAGAAAGTCAGCAAATATAGAACAATTTAAATGATACAATGAGAGTGAAATATTAATTATCCCATTTTGATCAGCACATATTATGTACATGTATTGAAATATTGCTATACCCCATAAATATTGTATTACATGTTTAACAAAAATTAAACATTTAAATAAATGTTTAAGGAGATGGAAATGTTAACTATCCTCATTTAACAACTATACACTATATATACTTATCAACTAATAATAAAAAATAAAACTAGGTTTTGAGAGATATATGACAACTCTAATGAGTTATGAACATAATCTGATTTTACAGGTACTGCTAGTATTGCTGTGGGTTTTTGCTTGCATTCCAAATGGAAGGAAATGCTCAATTTCAGTTTGAGTTTAGGGCAATCCTTGAATTCTATTCATGGAGTTGAGTTAAGGAACCTTTGTACAAAGACTTGCTTTTCTTTAACCTATGACTTCCTTTTAGAGCTGATAAGTTTTCATTTTCATCTCCTTGTTTACAAAGATCATGTCTGTGGCAAAGACATCATTAAACTCACTGCTATCATTCTTAAACCTATAGATGTTATCCAGATCCTCTGCTACATAATTGAAACAACACTGAATTTTCTGTCTTAAATTGCACAGTTAATTGACTGTATTTTATACTTCATTTACTTCTAACATAGACTAATGTTAATGGATGTCCACTGCTATTTGAATATTTCTGAGAATTTTCTTTGCATATTTCTGATTATGCTGCATTTTCAAAGAGAAAGGTTTAAAATTATATAGCTATAAGTCTCTAAGTAATTTTTTTGCTTAAATTATACACTTCCTTTCATGTGCGTCCTGGCCTAAGGAATGTGAAATATTTCTAATAGATATATTTAAAGACCATTAAAAATGAAGAACACTATTGTTAACTTGAATAGGCATCTTATTTTTCACCTGTGTAATAAATAACTTCTGTTTCTTCCTAACTTCTTGTACTGCACTGAAAGCATACCACTGATTAACAATAGTTTCATGATTATAGCCTTCACACAATATTAGATTAACATATTCTTTATGAAATATTATTTTATTTATTATTACATGATTTGCCACTGGATACTTATAAGTAGCTGTGAATGTATTGGGAGAACTTGGCACCTATATTTTACTACACTTTTACATTTCATAAAAATTGTATTGATAAAAAAAATCCTGAGGACCTCTGCCACAAAACTGATCTCAGTGGAAATCTGAATATGTTAACAATTATTTTTTGAAATGTAGCATAAAGTAGACAACTTTAAAAGCTGAGTTTTAAAAAATTCAAGGAAGCTGATGTTGACTTTTTCAAGCACAAAAGTGTAATCTTTAATGCAGGTCAGAATATTTAAATGAGAGAAATTTTTCTAGCCAATTATAGCCAAATCCTTAGCTATAATTAACCTACAAATTGAATCATATTTCACAACAGAGTCAGCATATACCACTTTCTTATAAAATTAGAAGGATCTAAAATTTTAGAGCTTATTCAGTAAGCTAGACATAATTTTCCCACTTCATTTATAAATTATAACTTTTATTTAAAAGCCAATGACATATAATAAGATTTTTAAAATCCAAGTTAATAAGAGTTATCAGAGATAATAGTATTATGCTATATTCAAATACTATATGGACAAATATTTAAAAATGAGGAACAATATATGTATTAATGAAAATAATCCTTCAATTAATTTATCAATTTTTGTATTGAAGATAGGTAATGTATAGCACTCTTTTCCATTTTTCTTAATATTCATTTATTTCTTGCCATCTTATTTTAGACTAGATTGAGCCTAGCTTACAAATGACATTATACATGTTTAAATATGCTCATTACATACATGTATTAGTTATTTAAATTATGAGATATAAGTGTGACTAATCAAATGATTTCAATCTAGGTAAAAGTTTATGATTTTCCAAGGAAGTAATTTCACTACAAAGTTTGCATATCTCTACATAATCAAGAATACTTTCAAAACCAAAACATTATAAAAATGTGTTGAGATGATGGTATTATTTTTCGTCAAGATTTGTATGTCTCCATACGCATATATGGAAACTCATAGGTATATTTTGTAGAAGAATATGAATTGTATCTACTCTCTAAATAATGCAACATGAGAAAAGGAGATAAGAAGAGGTGGGAAAAGACAATGGACATAATTCCAAAACCTTCATTTTAATACATTTTAACCAAACATGCTCATCAATGAGGTGTTTCCTGACTATTAAAATCTACCTACTATGTACATGATGGATAGGATGCAAGGGCTTGGCAGGAGAACTGAGTTTTCATTGTTCATAATAATAGTCTTAGTTGATAAATAAAGATTAAGTCCTCTTCTATGAATAAGAAACATTAGTATCAACAACTGCAAGCAAAATATCAATTTCATTTATAAAATATTTATGCTTTCCAGCTACAGCAGCATGCATTTAGCTTTCAGTATATTACAGGAGAAAGTTGAGTGATGATTGAATTCAACAATAATCTTTTTATTTTGGTTTTATTTTCCACCTTCAGCACTGAATATTTTTGGTCTGAGTATCTCTTTAAGAATAAAGTAACAAATGTAGTAGAACTAAAAGTAAATATAACTATCATGTTCTTAGTATAAAATCATATTCATAGCTGTTAAAAAATCTTACCAAATACCTGCCTTTCCCACAATAAAGTCATTTATAATTGGCTTTTTCTCATCTTTTTTTGGAAAAAACTAATTCAGACTTAGCTTGTTAAAGTTGAAATATACCAAAGACATTCACATTTAAGCAATCATGTGCAATTTTTAAAACAAACATGAAAGTTTAAAATAGCTGAAAATCACTAAGTAGCAACAAGTACATATTTTAGTATCTGAAAAAAAGACATAAAAATGCCTTTACTAATATTGATTAACTTGATGGTCTCCTTAATGTTATTGCCTTTCACCCAGTTTATAATCATCTTTCTTGAAATCCTTTTGTAAGGACAGTTTAAATAGTTCTGCTAAAAAATCCAGCATTCCTATTTTATTTGTTACCCTACCTCTTTTTTCTTTCTGCCAGCTGTTTGCAGACCTCCTGCCACCTCAGATTCAGGCTTCCCAATTTTTCCTGTAGAATATTGGCATCTGTTTTTGAGGACTGTTGAATTATTTCTTCCCCAGTTGCATTCAGTGCTCTGACAACAGTTTGCCGCTGCCCAATGCCATCCTGGAGTTCCTGTAAGATACCAAAAAAGGCGAAACAAAAATGAAACTCCATGTCCTTTTATTTGAGAAAAGATTAAACAATGTGCTACCACATGCAGTTGTACTGGGAGAGAAATAAAAAGCTCCATGTGAGAGGTGCTCTCTGAAACTGACATGCCCATATCCAAAGAATACAAGACAGAAAGATACCTTTTATGTGTCAGTAAAAAAGTGCCCTCTCAGTTCAGCTCCAGTTTTTATTTTTGTAAGCTTGTCAGCTAGAGGATGTTATAATGTCCTACAAATCAATTAGTTACAAACCTTCTCAAGAGCAAATTTGATTTTTTGTCCCCACAAGGATGTTCTATGTTTAATAGTCTATGAAGTGTTGTAAAATTTAAACATGAACAAAGTATTTGGGTTGTCAATATGAAAGGTGAAAAGAACAAACATAGTTTAGCCATAGTATTAAAAAAATCCTCTAAAGATTTTAAAATAAAATTCATTACTATATTAAAAGGAAATTTATTTCAAATTCTGTTTGCATCAATGTAGTTTGCATTATAAAGCCACATAAAACTAAGAATTAACTGCTTCCAAGGATAGCACATCAAGAAACCTCTAAGGTTCAATACTAAATTTTAAGATAATCTATGGGTACCAGAACATTTATATGCATCATTGATTGTGTCAAACTTAAATACCTTCTACTTTTTATCCTGAATGAAATTTTAAGAGTAAAATGTCAGAGAATTGTTCCATTAAAAAAGAATATTACAACCAAGTCTTCACAAAAATGAAAAAGCTTTTTTATCATTAAATAAAAAATGGCAATTCCTCTTTATTTATCTTTATTCAAAATATAGGATTTGTAAGGCAATAAAAATAGCACATTACTAAATCTGAAATTTATAACATGAAATCGTACATAAGAACTTGTGATAACTGCATATTTAAACCTAAATGTCTCCTCAACCCTTATGTTACTGACAAAACAATGACAGTATATAGAACACTTTTGCTAATAGGTGTGATTTAATATTGTTATATTCTTCTACTCCATAATCTAATACTAAGCTCACAGCAGACCCCAGGACATGCTTACCAAATGAACAAATTTAATGCATGCTTTTTGAGACTGAGTTAAATCTCCCAGACTTTCATTCCAAATAAAATTCTCGGTACTTTATAACCACCTTCATGTAATATTATTTTAATAGAGTTTGGTTGTACATTTTTAGCAATTAAAAGACTACATAAACCAACAAAATGATAGCAAGGTCATTATTCCAGGAACATAGTACCTCACAATAAAAATGAAAATATGCATTGTTATTTAACTATTCATAAGCTGTCTTGACCATACTCTCTAGAATGCCTATAAGATGTGCTCTAGTAAATGTGATATTTCCTTGCAACTAGTTGACTTTGCTCTATTGCTTTCCTCTCACTCTTTACCACCTGTTCAGATCAATATTGAATGTGTCAGTCACTGCTTAGCAACAGGTTTATCAATATTAATAAACTGTGCCTAAATTCCTATTATATCATAAATTCATTGAAGTCAGTGATTATGTTCTATTCAAGATTGTGCCCTGAGTCTTAGTGCAGTACTCTATCTGCTGTACTTATTGAAATGCTTCAATAAGTACCTGTTGAGTAAATACTTGAATCTATGAATAAAAGAACTAGGGAAGGAGAAGTGAGACGAGCAAATGGAGGAACAAATGAAGAGAGGAATGGAGAAAGAGATGAAGAAAGGAAAGAAGTTCAATCTCATTATCACTATGGTATCACTACTATTAATACTTATCATGGGCCTCCTACAGATTCAAAAATAAGTGCAGATTTCTAAGTTTTAGGCACTGTATAATCTACTTGAAGAGATTAACCTCACAATGTGAATGACAATTTGCTATATTACACACAGAAGGATAGAGAAAGCAAAGTGCTCAGTAAGAGGTAGATAAGAAGGATGATCTCAGTAGAATGACCAGTAGAGACTTCCAGGGATTTTGGAAATAAAAGAATGGGAAGATTTTAGGAACATGGAAATTCAGAGACAGCAAAGGATTAAGGCCTATGGCGATCAACCTCCAAAACCTGATCAGGAGTGTAGAGTTGAGTTCTATGTCACTGTATGAGAGCATGGTTTTAGAGGAGGTACAGCCATAGCTTCAGTGGCCTGGGCAGAGAGGACTTTCATTTTAATTAAGCAGTTTGTAATTCATTGGAAGTCAAAAGACAACAGCTCAGTTTCTAAATATAGGCATGTTGAGGTTAGAGCAATTCTGTTTTTTGTTGTTGTTCACTTATTCACATGTGCATACATTGTTTGGGTCATTTCTCTACCCTGCCTCCCTTCCCCCCTTCCCTCCTCAGTTTCAGGCAGGTCCCATTCTGCCCTTGTGACTGATTTTGTTGAAGAAAAGACATAAGCATAACAAGAAAGACAAAGCGTTTTTGCTAGCTGAGTTAAGGATAGCTATACAGAAAGATTCCTACTATTGCTCTCATGTACCCATGTGTTACGACCCATGTTGATTCAACTCTAACTGATCTTTACATTGGTTCCTGAACCCCTGCTAGTGATAACCTGCCATTTTAAGGTTTCTGTGTTAGTTCCTCTGGAGTGGGGACATCAAACACTTTCATTGGGTTTTCTACCTATTCCTATATTTCCCGAATGTGCTCTCTCCTTTTCTTGTGATCCAAGTCCAACAACATTGCTGTATTTGCCCTAGATCTAAAGTCCGCATATGAGGGAGAACATACGATTTTTGGTGTTCTGAGCCTGGCTGACCTCACTCAGAATGATGTTCTCTAGTTCCATTCATTTACCTGCAAATGATAAGATTTCATTTTTCTTCATGGCTGAGTAGAATTCCTTTGTGTATAAATACCACATTTTCTTAATCCATTCATCAGTAGTGGGGCATCTTGGCTCTTTCCATAACTTGCTATTGTGAATAGTGCTGCAATAAACATGGGTTGTGCAGGTGCTTCTGGAGTAACCTGTGTTGCATTCATTTGTGTATATCCCCAGGAGTGGGATTGCTGGATCATATGGCAGAACTATGCTTAGATTTTTAAGAAACCTCCAAATTTTTTTCCAGAGTGGTTGTACTAGTTGGCATTCCCACCAGCAGTGTATGAAGGTTCCTTTTTCCCCACATCCTTCCCAATACCTGTTGCTGGTGGTGTTTCTAATGATGGCTATTCTAACAGGGGTAAGGTGGAATCTTAGTGTGGTTTTGATTTGTATTTTATTTATGGCTAGAGATGGTGAGCATTTTTTCATGTGTTTTTTTGCAATTTGAATTTCTTCTTTTGAGAAAGTTCTGTTTAGTGCAGTTGCCCATTTCTTTATTGGTTCATTAATTTTGGGAGAGTTTAGTTTTTTGAGCTCCCTATATATCCTGGCTATCAGTCCTTTGTCTGATGTGTAGCTGGCAAATACTTTCTCCCACTCTGTGGGTGGTCTTTTCAGTTTAGAGACCATTTCTTTTGTTGTACAGAAGCTTTTTAATTTTATGTAGTCCCATTTGTCTATACTTTCTCTTAGTTGCTGAGCTGCTGGGGTTCTATTGAGGAAGTACTTGCCTATACCTACTATTTCCAAAGTGTTTCCTACTCTTTCCTGTACCAACTTTAGAGTTTGGGGTCTGATATTAAGGTCTTTGATCCATTTTGAGTTGATACTAGTACAGAGTGATAAACATGGATCTAATTTCAGTTTTTTGAAGATGTCTAGCCACTTTTCTCAACAACTTGTGTTGAAATGCCTGTCTTCATTGAAAGAAAAATAATGGATCAAACAGTAAGTAAAAATTTGCATGTGGTGTTTTCTGGTTAGCTTCTTAGCAGGAAAAGAGATAACATTTGATTTACAAAATTAAATGTAAAATCTCAATCAATTTGATTCACACAGTAAAAAACATAAATTAATTTTAACTGTATGACATCTAATTATTTCAAATACTGAATTATTCATTAACAATGAACTTTCTAAGCTTTCATATCATAGTAATATACTGTTGTAATAGGCGTCCTTATCTATTTCTCCTGCAATTAACATCTAGCCTTAGTTTTGGACAAAAAGAAAATCATAATTAAATATATTGGGTTATTCATCATAGTTAGAATGGTTATTGTTTCATTCCAAGTTTAAAGCATTCATTCTTAATGCGTGCATAGCAGACTCCCTGAGGAAACTTTTTTCAAAATATACAAGCCCCAAATTCCACCCTAAGCATACTAATTCAGAATCTCCTGGGGGGTAGGGGGTAAAGGTGTATAAAACAGATATACTATGAAAGAAAGGGCTATGGAAGAAAGGGTATGCTAGAGATTTATGGAGGGGCCAGGGGTACCTGAGGGTTATGTTTTAGAACGACTGCCTCATTATTCACTTCTTTTATTCTGTTTAAATTAAGAAATGTTTCTAAATTATAGAAAATGACATTTATATATCTAAGTCCTTCAAGTCTGGTCAGATTGAGGGGAGGAAAGAGAAAGTGTAGGCTAGGAAGGAATTATTATCTTTTTAGAGAGGGGAGAATATTAGAAAAAAAAAGTACTACCTCTTATATGAAAACATTGCATAAATTTTACAAAAGTATATTTGTAAAACTTTCCAAAAGAGTATGAAAACTCAATAAATGGAAAATAAAGTATGACAAATGAAGAAAAAGAATGAGCTAAGAAGCAGTTATGAGAGATTGTACAGTGACAAATTGGATGCACTATGCGAGAGGTAAAGAATTGGCAAAAAAATTTACAAACTAAGGAAAAAATAGGAAAATAGTAGCAATAAAATCTGATTTGGAGAAAACATAAAGACCAATGGAAAAAGAGGAAAGAAAATCAAATTCTCAATGAACAAGTAGATTTCTCATGAATCCTATCCTGGGTTTTCCTTGTAATTTTGCTAATGAATTATTTTGAGACAGATTAATTGTTGGCTCAGTTTACAGATGGGTGAAGTGAAAATGTGCAATAAAATGAAGCTGTGGATATTGGTTAAACTGACAGGCAGAATTCTATGGTGCAGTTTCTCAAAAAAAATATGGTGCTTTATCTTTTTTCCCCTGTCCTGATGTTAGTTCTCAAAATGCAAGAGTTTGAAAAATAGTTTCTGGTGCTTTTCTTAAGCCAAGATGCACCTCTACAGATAAATGGATTAAGAAAATCTGGTATTTACACACAATGGAATTTTACTCAGCCACAAACAAGAATGAAATTTTGTCATTCTCAAGTAAATGGATGGAACCAGAGAACATCATCTTAAGCTAAGTTAGCCAG